CATCCACTTCAAAACCCCAATAGGTAGAATTCTTACTGGTTACAACTATATATATATATATATATATATATATATATATATATATATATATATATATATATATATATATATATATATATATTTTTTTATATATATATATATTAAATTATATTTTGGGGCTAAAAAACAAATTGTATGTTTTTTGTATAGACCCTAGCAAAAAGTTTTCATTTTGGGGTACAAACATGCCTGTAAAAGAAATATATTTTTTAATATCTTAATAATTAGAGTTTGCTCCAAGTCGATAAAATTTAACAATATTGTGCCTATGCTTAATATTCTGCCTCATTTCTTATTTCAACCTGCCCCCCACTTGGTCACAAATTGGGTATTGGCCCTACTTAGAGCGAGATCCGCACATGAGGACCAGTCTCACTCTTTGTCGCCCAGTAAGTTCTGCTTGAGGGCATTGAGGAATGATTTCCTCTGGTCATGTAACTGCCTGCAGTAGATACTGCAGTTGCTGTTTCATCCTTGGTGATGCGACCCTGAAATCTTGGACTAAAGGGCTGCTCACTCTTTCTGTATGATCATTGATCTGGAATAAAGCTTGTACACTGGCTTTTGCATTTTGGAAGCCAGGATCATCTTTCACTGGGCTACTACTGGGAGGGCCAAAATCATTTAAGTTGACTTTTTTGAAAAAATGACACAGCTGTTCTTTGATATTATGAAATCATATAGGTTCTTCACTTGGAGTGTTTCTGGATTGACTGTAACCCGTTATTCATGCTTTTCTTCTCCAATAACGTGTCGCTTCCAACATGCAGTCCTTTACTGCTGGAGAACATCCGTCATCAAAGAAGGCCAATGCAATAACTCTTCTGACAGTACCAGAGATGTCTCATAATTTTTTGTGTGGAAGGATTGTCTTTGATATGGCATCGCTGATGGTACTGTAGTCTTGTAAACTTTGTATCAGATCTCTTTTTGGTGCACCTTTTGCGGCAAATTGGAGCAGTTGTCCAAGCCTTCATATATTCAGGCAAAAGAAAATTCCACAATCTCTTCGGTCCTCTGTTCTCCTTTGGAGTAGCTTAAACTGAGAACAGAATAACTACACTTTAGAAGGAATAAATGGTCTTTGCCATCATCGTGCTTGGTGCATTGCACCAGGGGCAAGAAAAATCATCTGCTCGAAGGTGATGCCAAGGAAGATGGAGGCCAGCTCGAACAGCTCTCGATAATCACATCTCAAGCTGTATGATGAAACCTTCTCTAATGAAGTTGGTTAGTCGTCTAACAGCTCCACCGATTCTTCCTGCCAGATCGTCAGGAAGTCGCACAAACTTCTGCTTGTCAATTTGATTCTACATTTGGGCGAATCTTCGGAACTGACATAATATGTCAGGAGCAGCTGGTACTTTAATAGCTTCAAAGCAGCTCCTTCTGGGATTCTAATACATGGTGTGGCGAAAAATATAACCAAATCTGACCCTTATTGCTCTGAATTTTGATACCCGCACCCTTGTTGACCAGTATTTGAGCTTGTTGTATCAAAACACATGCCATACTTTGATGTAGCATTGCTGCAACCTTCACAACAACTTTGGCATTTCATCACCAATTGAGGAAGTTTTGGGGCAGCGAAGTTAGGAGGTGCCATTACCTGGGAACAAAGAACTCGGAGTCTGTCCTTGCAACTCATGCCCCATCAAATCAGGCATCAATTTACCATCGGTGAACAATTAAAACCTGACTCTGGTTTGTGGATTTGAAAGGATTTCAAGCTGCCCTGCTACTGGGTAATTGCTGAGCTTAACATCCTGATGCTTGATCAGTTGGAATCAATTCACTGACATGTAGCCCAGACTCCGAGCAGTTTGGTGACAATGTGCAGGCATTCTATCTGAGGACTTGGTCCGATCTGGCCCTGCAGAAAGTTCTGGGTTAGAACTTCTTTTTCTTACGCTTCATGACAATAGGTGTAGTTTGAAGTGCTGATGGAACTGGATTGGATTCCTCAGAAGAAGACGTACTGCTGTCGAACAGCGACTGGCTGGCATTTTTTGGCCTCCTCCTGCACCAATCTTCACAGCCAACTGCTTTCATTTACAACTTTCTTAGGGGAGTTTTTCCTCGTCGTTTTGTCTTTTCAGGAATGCTTGTCCAAGATGACATTACCCGACGCCCTTTTTTCTCGTTGCGCTAATAAAATTATTATCCTCCACAGAGCTGTCTGTCGTATTCAAAGCATTCGTAATGCTGCAGAAATATCAAAAGGTCTTCAAATGTATCAGTGAACTCTTTCTCTTTCTGTTTGATTTCTGTCTTTCCTTGAAGGGTTCTTGCCGAGCCTCCCTTGTCCAAACATTTTGTGCACTTGGATTCACAATATGGTTTTGTGGTGTGTAGAATGTTTGTTTTGTCCAAGAATTGAAGAACTTTGTCTGTGACTCCCCCAGCTGCCACTCTGATGTTTTTTTTGTATGCGATGCAGGCTTAAGAAATACTATGTACTTGCCTGTTTGAAGTAACTTAGCCTGTAATGTAATCACATGTGTTTATCAAATACACGTTTCTTTGTGAACAACGCCTGCATTATCCATTTTGACCCTGGGAATAAAAAATTAACTAATATAAATTAATAATGAGAATCTCTGCAGAACTGTTTCTAATTTCCCCAATCATCTCAATCACGACCAGCAAAAACTCGCATGATCGTGCTGATACGACGCACTAGTGGTGGGCGTAATCAACTACAAAGTAATTTATTTCATCAATTGTAATTTTGCGACAGCTTTGAGCAACCTCTAAATATTAATATATTTAAAAATAACTCTGCACACATTTTTTTGTCTAAATTGACACTTTTAAGCAGCACGATCTGTGAGTATAAAAGTCCAAAAGTTGAAAATAAGGACCACCCTAATATACTGTATAGTATATATATATATATATATATATATATATATATATATATATATATATATATATATATATATATATATATATATATATATATATATATATATATATATATATAAAATCACTGTAGGTGCGGTGATCGAAGTATATGCTGATAACCACAAGGAAACAAGAAAACACGAAGTTCCTAAGCGCTTTCGTGTAATTCATCTTCAGGGTGTTTTCTTTCTTTGGTTATCAGCATATATATATATATATATATATATATATATATATATATATATATATATATATATATATATATATATATATATATATATATATATATATATATACATATATATTCCTGCAATAGACAGTACATTAAAAGTGTGGATGAACATTTCAACACCTATAGACACATTGTAAGTATTCTGATAAAACCTCCCAATATTTGACGGGTTTTACTCCCTCAAAGTCAGAATTAAATATAAGCCTAATTTCTTTTAGTGGCGGCGATGGTTTACGAACACTTGGTAAACTTTCATGGTGTTCATTCTCACGTTCACAGACTACCTCTCCTCTTTATTGGCATTGCTTTAATATTTTAAGCGTTATGTCTTTTATGTTTTGTTACGTCTTCCACAAGATTCACTCAGTCCCTCACGTTTTGTTTACTTTCAATGTGTTTAGTCCACAATATCGGCTATTCAGATGCCAGCGTTCTGTTGGTATAGTACATACCTGTTATTTATGGTATGTGCAACGGGACCCAGTTTACACCATCTCAAAGCATGTTACACTGTTAAACAAAGACATAAATAGGTAGTGAATAAAGGGACGATAAAGAAAGTGAAGAGCCAAGAAAATTAACAAAAATAAATTGGGCAACAAACAATATAGACAGCAAATAACATTGGGCGAGAAACAAAATGAGCAGCAAAATACACGAACAACAAAGGAAAATGAGCAACAACCAAAAATATAACAAGGATAAAAGTACTCAACATGGAATGGTACACTACACCTCGTCTTGAAAACTGCTTACTATTCCACCCAAACAATGTGTCTCGTAACTTATAAGTGAAGGTAAATATGGCAGCGACACTTACACATACTATTTAATTCTCATTTCCTTTTTATTCTTTATGAGATACAGCACACGACCTCGACTCCACATCAGGGACCACCTTATGTGTTCCTTAGGGCGGGGCATAGCGTGGGGCAATGCGTGATGTGGGACGGGGCGTGGAACGGGGCGTGGAATGGGGCGTGGGGCGAGGTGTGAGGGCGGGAGGCGAGGCGGAGAAGTAGTCAACAACTTTAAAAAAAAAAGTTGGCCTCACAGGGAATGTAAGGTTGGGAAAGTAGGCCAGGAAACACATTCTTGGCCTCAGCACGATAACGTCTCATCATAATCTCTCACTGCAGGAAAAGACAGCATCAAGTATGGTAGAAACACCTTAATTTTCATCTATTTCTTTTAACCCCATATGTTAAAAGAGGAAAGCAAACGATTGGTGCCCTTAAGCAGAAATGATAAACGTATTTTAACTTGCATCAGGAACTAAGTGATAATGTCCTTTGAAAATTATAATGACCAATAACTCTGCCCTAGATTGAATTTAGGGGAAGGATTATTTCACGTGTGTCTAGGCAGTATAAACATATAATAGAAAAAATCATTAATTGGCAGCTGACAATGCAGAACTCTTACAACTTTTGGTCAAAAATAACTATTACCCAAGAAGGCGCATTTAGAATTATCCAATATAATACCTGTGTTTTTAAAACGTTGAAAAGATTTGGAAATTTTAACAAATGTACATCTTTAAGAAACACGTTGATTTCATACTCTCCATCCCCCTTAACAATAAGAAGAGTATCCCGCTCCCCCCACAAACTAAGTCACAGATCAATATGAACCACCCACAAAAGCCAATAAAGACGTGGTTGTATGTTTGTGGCTAAACTTAATGGTGTAACAAACCCTTCCACTCAGCCTTTAAACCGATTTGCAACTATTCATCCTCTTCGCGTCATGTTGCATTGTTAAAACTCATTTTAAAGGTAAATCTCCAGGATCAACGCCGTCAAGTTACATTCTCTGTCGACTAACATCATCACTCCTTCGCCTGCCGCAGTCAGCTGCGGACGGAGAGGAAGAAGAGGAGAAGGAAAAACACCACGACGAAGAGTGAGTACATGGTGGCCATTATATGGGTCGTCTCCAGTAACAGGTAGATCTCTTCCCCCTTGCAGTGATAGAGAGTGATTTATATCTCACTACAGCGGAGAGATCTCATCTTGTGATGATGGCCAGAACTGTCTCTAGAGTTGAAGATTAAATTCTTCGCTGCTACGAAGAAAATTCATAACTCAAAGTGATTCTCTGAAACAGACGAACATCTTGCTGACACTTCTTTTACTTCACAATTAATGGACATAATTATAAAACACAAAGAATTACAATCGGTCTAGACAACCAGCCTTCATTGCACTGCCCACAGAAGGAATGTCTTAAAAACTCACCTGAAGAGGCTAAACAGGATGATATACTGTAAGTATTGAATTAATTAACTGATTGAAGGTTCAGGTATGACTCAACACATTCCATGATTATGCACAATTCAAATAATATATAATGCAACTTTCAATATTATTATGTATATAGAGAATGTAGATCTGTTTATTTAATTTACTTCAAAATATGAATTAGTGCGTAGAGCAACAATAACACGTGTTCTCATGTATTGAAGAACGTACATAACCACAAATACTTTGAAATAAAATATAAAATTCGCATGTTATAGAGAGAGAAATTTTATGAACAATAAATAAGTTCATTATTAAGAACAAAAATTTATATATTGTTCGTAATTAAAGACAAACATCTGCAAAAGATTTTGATTACATCATCGATGAACACAAGCGATAAATTGTAGTTTTAATCATTTAATCATATTAGAGTTCAATTAAAGGTATAAAAAACAGGCAATTTCCCTATAAAATTATTTTTATTCACCAAGTTAGGTTTAACGGAGAGAAAATAATAAAAAAATCCCCCTTTATGTAAATTTACATTGAATTTTAATCTTATTGAGTAAAAGGTGAAATAATCATCCCATAAATTATTACAGACTTAAAATGCTATAATGTTTAGAGTTGAGGAGATTCTTCAACATTTTACAGCATAAGTTGGCAGGCAAGGGACCCCGGTGGAGGCTCCCGTTGCTTGAGAATAAGACGGAGAAGAAGGTTTTGAGTGAAATACAAGAGAGCTTAGGATAGGTTGCCCTTGTAGTGCCATGGGAGTGCCCCTTGTTCACACGCAAAAGTTCTTTGTTCGATTTCTGTCCAGTGAGGTACTGTTAGTATTCATGTACGCGTATATATGGACTGTGATTTTATCAAGATTTATCTTATCCACGTTTTCATTGTGGATCTACATGAAATATATATATATATATATATATATATATATATATATATATATATATATATATATATATATATATATATATATATATATATATATATATATATATATATATATATATAGATATATAAATTAAATATTTACTGGGATATATATATATATATATATATATATATATATATATATATATATATATATATATATATATATATATATATGTTGGTGTGTGTGTATGGAGAGGGGGTGGGCGCATAACCACGTGCTCTATTATTACACAGCAGGTGTAAAAGTGAACGCCCACCAGTGGTACAGGTGTTTCACAAGGAATCCGCCCATCCCACCTAATCTCAGTGTGGCAGACACACCCTGCGGCGTTTTAAAGTAAAATACATAACAGGTTTAAGTAAATTTATATCAGGTGTAATTAGAATATATACAGTATATATATATATATATATATATATATATATATATATATATATATATATATATATATATATATATATATATATATATATATATATATGTAACCGGTCGGAATTTGCTGGACTTTAATTTCTCACTTGACTTGGGGTTTATTAAAATTTAATAGATGGTAAAGGCAGTGGAAGCGCCCCTTTGAGAAAAATCCCGAACCAGCACAAGAACACTTAAATCTACTACACAAAATGAACTGTCCGTGACCCGTGGAAGGATAGCGTCTGTGACTGGGATGAATGAGACACACTGTAATATTTAGACACTTATATTCCCTCCAACACTACAAACACAATCAAATAATGGTACACCAATATGCGCACCTCTTAACTTAAACTTTAAACACTACTCTGGGGAATAAAAGTTATACATGACATAGAAATTATTAGAAACACAGGCAACAATAAATTTGAAGTATTAAGAAATGTTGCTTGCACACATGAACAGGCCTTAAGGCTTTCACAAAATAATATCAGTCACTTAGGAAATGGTACTAAAAAATAAGAAATTAAATACTCCACAATGAATAGGCCTTAAGGGTTTTCAACAAAATAATATCAGTCACTGAGGAATGGTAATAAAAAATAAGAAATTAAATACTCTACAATGAATAGGCCTTAAGGGCTTTCAGCAAAATAATATCAGTCACTGAGGAAATGGTAATAAAATTTAAGAAATTAAATACTCTACAATGAATAGGCCTTAAGGGCACTCAACAAAATTATAGCACCCCAACAGATGTACACTTCCTAACCTAACCTAACCACTACTCTGGGGAACAAGGTTATACCTGAGATCAGAATTATGAAGAACAATTAGAGGCATTAAAAGAATCAAATCACAGTATCACTCTGGTTCCACTTAATGGCACAAACATTCAAAACAATATTATCAAAATTATTTAGAAACTATTAAACTACACACGTCAAGATAATATCAGTCTGAGGAATGGTGTTAACTACACCCGTAATAAGGGAGGGAAAATGTTCCTCTAGGTATCTCCTAGAGACCTAGACTCACGGTCTCAGTGTGTGACCATTAGTTTACTCAGATAGCCTCAGTGTACTCCCAGTGCGTCCATAAAGCGGAAGGGAGTGAGCCAATCAGACCTTGTACAGTTGAGAGAAACTTTAGCTTCCCGTTAGCAAGAGGGTTTCACTAGCTGCTCGGGACATGTGGGGTTGTGCACCGGAGTGGTAAGAACTGATCACCCACTGCTGATGCTGGTCCCGTGTCGTTTTAGTTGTCGGGAGCACTCGTTCACTCAAGAGATCCTTTGCTACCCCGCTAAACAGTGACAGGCCTACACTGATCGGTCCAATGGCGACAATCGCCACCCTCAATCATCAACGGCAGTCAATCTCTCGCAGTCAACTCCGGTCAACTCCAGTCAAGTGGGTTCTGACGGAAACCCTGAAATGAACTCACTGTTAGCTCTAGTTTACTTTATCACTGCCCTATCTAACCCTGTCTGAGATCGAATGAGACTTACTTGTTATACTGCAATAGCGCAGCACAGGTGACTAGGCCACGTGACTATTTCTGTGATGGACGCGCAGGAACGTCTTATCTGTGTGAATGCTCTCCGGGACTGGGGCCTAGCCAGCGTCGCGTCTCCTCAAGGCGTTAGCTTAGGTCTACGTGACATATTTTCCGCCTAACTAATAACTCCTTGGGACACCCGTAACATTATTCAGACTGCTAAACGATCTATAATAATTTCAAATTCAATAATAGTCCCTTAACTTCATGAATCGCATCATTATTAATTCGGTAAATTACATTTAATATCATATAGGCCTAGTTCCGCAATCTCTCGCTACGAGCAGGCAGCGCTCCCTCCCCTCAGATGACCTTGAACGCTCAGTATCACTCATGGCGGGGCATTTGAAATTACTCTGAAATTTCTGAATATTATATATATATATATATATATATATATATATATATATATATATATATATATATATATATATATATATATATATATATATATATATATATATATATATATATATATACAAATGAAATCACTGTAGATGCTTGTGTGATCTAAGGTATATGTACTGATAACCACAAGGAAAGCGCGTTCGTGTAATTCACATCTTCAGGGGTGAGTACAGACTAGTCTGTACTCACCCCTGAAGATGTGAATTACACGAACGCGCTTGGGAACTTCGTGTTTCTTCTTTCCTTGTGGTTATCAGCATATATATATATATATATATATATATATATATATATATATATATATATATATATATATATATATATATATATATATATATATTTCATTTAGATCCACAATGGAAACGTCGATAAGATAAATTTTGATAAAATCACACAGGGAAAGGGGAAACAATGGAGCACCTTAGCTTTCGTCTTTATTCAAGACATCTTCAGAGGCATTGTTTCCCTTTTCTCTGTGCGATTTTATCAATATGAAACACGAGGTACCATATATATATGGTACCTCGTGTTTCATACCAGCTGGATTCGGTAAAATGCTACTGACACCACATACGAGGCACGGGCAGTTTCCCAATGAGGTTCACGGCGCCATCAGCTCGATGAACAGGCTTTGTGTGAAATATAACAGAGTCTAGAACTGCTTTTTGTGTCCTTGTGGCCTAGCCGGTAAGCGTCCCGTAGTCCCACCCAGTAGGTCGAGGGTTCGATTCCTTGCTGGTGAGGTCGTTGATTTTATATATATATATATATATATATATATATATATATATATATATATATATATATATATATATATATATATATAAAATCAACGACCTCACCAGCCAGGACTCGAACCCTGGACCTAATGCATGGGACCAGGCAGTTCCCAATGAGAGGTTCACGGCGCCATCAGCTCGATGAACAGGCTTTGTGTGAAATGTCACATAGTCTAGAACTGCTTTTAGTGCTCTTGTGGTATGGTCGGTAGTGTTCCCTGGTCCCATGCATTAGTTCCAGGGTTCGAGTCCTGGGTGGTGAGGTCGTTGATTATATGTTCAAAGTCCGCGTGTTATATGGACTAAAAATGAAGTATATATATGTCCCTCGCGTTTCATACCAGCTGGATTCGGTAAAATGCTACTGACACCACATAAGAGGCACGGGCAGTTTCCCAATGAGGTTCACGGCGCCATCAGCTCGATGAACAGGCTTTGTGTGAAATATAACAGAGTCTAGAACTGCTTTTAGTGTCCTTGTGGCCTAGCCGGTAAGCGTTCCCTAGTCACACCCAGTAGGTCGAGGGTTCGATTCCTTGCTGGTGAGGTCGTTGATTATATGTTCAAAGGCCGCGTGTTATATGGACTAAAAATGAAGTATATATATGTACCTCGCGTTTCATACCAGCTGGATTCGGTAAAATGCTACTGACACCACATAAGAGGCACGGGCAGTTTCCCAATGAGGTTCACGGCGCCATCAGCTCAATGAACAGGCTTTGTGTGAAATATAACAGAGTCTTGAACTGCTTTTAGTGTCCTTGTGGCCTAGCCGGTAAGCGTTCCCTAGTCACACCCAGTAGGTCGAGGGTTCGATTCCTTGCTGGTGAGGTCGTTGATTATATGTTCAAAGTCAGCGTGTTATATGGACTAAAAATGAAGTATATATATGTACCTCGCGTTTCATACCAGCTGGATTCGGTAAAATGCTACTGACACCACATAAGAGGCACGGGCAGTTTCCCATTGAGGTTCACGGCGCCATCAGCTTGATGAACAGGCTTTGTGTGAAATATAACAGAGTCTAGAACTGCTTTTAGTGTCCTTGTGGCCTAGCCGGTAAGCGTTCCCTAGTCACACCCAGTAGGTCGAGGGTTCGATTCCTTGCTGGTGAGGTCGTTGATTATATGTTCAAAGTCAGCGTGTTATATGGACTAAAAATGAAGTATATATATGTACCTCGCGTTTCATACCAGCTGGATTCGGTAAAATGCTACTGACACCACATAAGAGGCACGGGCAGTTTCCCATTGAGGTTCACGGCGCCATCAGCTCGATGAACAGGCTTTGTGTGAAATATAACAGAGTCTAGAACTGCTTTTAGTGTCCTTGTGGCCTAGCCGGTAAGCGTTCCCTAGTCACACCCAGTAGGTCGAGGGTTCGATTCCTTGCTGGTGAGGTCGTTGATTATATGTTCAAAGTCCGCGTGTTATATGGACTAAAAATGAAGTATATATATGTACCTCGCGTTTCATACCAGCTGGATTCGGTAAAATGCTACTGACACCACATAAGAGGCACGGGCAGTTTCCCAATGAGGTTCACGGCGCCATCAGCTCGATGAACAGGCTTTGTGTGAAATATAACAGAGTCTAGAACTGCTTTTAGTGTCCTTGTGGCCTAGCCGGTAAGCGTTCCCTAGTCACACCCAGTAGGTCGAGGGTTCGATTCCTTGCTGGTGAGGTCGTTGATTATATGTTCAAAGTCCGCGTGTTATATGGACTAAAAATGAAGTATATATATGTACCTCGCGTTTCATACCAGCTGGATTCGGTAAAATGCTACTGACACCACATAAGAGGCACGGGCAGTTTCCCATTGAGGTTCACGGCGCCATCAGCTCGATGAACAGGCTTTGTGTGAAATATAACAGAGTCTAGAACTGCTTTTAGTGTCCTTGTGGCCTAGCCGGTAAGCGTTCCCTAGTCACACCCAGTAGGTCGAGGGTTCGATTCCTTGCTGGTGAGGTCGTTGATTATATGTTCAAAGTCCGCGTGTTATATGGACTAAAAATGAAGTATATATATGTACCTCGCGTTTCATACCAGCTGGATTCGGTAAAATGCTACTGACACCACATAAGAGGCACGGGCAGTTTCCCATTGAGGTTCACGGCGCCATCAGCTCGATGAACAGGCTTTGTGTGAAATATAACAGAGTCTAGAACTGCTTTTAGTGTCCTTGTGGCCTAGCCGGTAAGCGTTCCCTAGTCACACCCAGTAGGTCGAGGGTTCGATTCCTTGCTGGTGAGGTCGTTGATTATATGTTCAAAGTCCGCGTGTTATATGGACTAAAAATGAAGTATATATATGTACCTCGCGTTTCATACCAGCTGGATTCGGTAAAATGCTACTGACACCACATAAGAGGCACGGGCAGTTTCCCATTGAAGTTCACGGCGCCATCAGCTCGATGAACAGGCTTTGTGTGAAATATAACAGAGTCTAGAACTGCTTTTAGTGTCCTTGTGGCCTAGCCGGTAAGCGTTCCCTAGTCACACCCAGTAGGTTGAGGGTTCGATTCCTTGCTGGTGAGGTCGTTGATTATGTGTTCAAAGTCCGCGTGTTATATGGACTAAAAATGAAGTATATATATATATATATATATATTGGACAAATTATATTTACTTTACCATTATATGAAATAGCTGGTCGTCCACAGTACTGCGTGAAATATATAGTAAAAGAAATGGATGCTACACTCAGCAGCTTCGCTCTTACTTGCAGCCTACTATTCTTGCGCAAATTATAAAAGAATCTCAAATATTTAAATTATTGTAAGAAAAGGTTTCGATGACATAATTTGTGGGAGATAATCCTGTTAACCTTAATGAATGTAAACTCTCGTTTAATACTATTATATTTCACTATACCAGCAGTGTTCCGGGAGCAAGACACATCGCAAGTTCTGTACATGACATCGCCTGAACATGACAGGAAATAAATCCTTCTTCAAGATAGCTGCAGGGGAGGTCAGTAGTGCTGTTGTTAGCTATTAAACTCCAATGCTGCCAGTAGCTGTTAAACTCTACAGCTAGTAAGAGCTGTTAAGCTTTACTGTTATCTGTAGCTATTAGGCTTTATTACTGTCATTAGCTGTACAATAATAGTGCAGTCAGTAGCTTTATATTGGAGCGCTATACTACAGCTTTATAAGGTAGTGTTGTCTGTAGCTTTATAAGGTAGTTGTCAGTAGCTTTATAAGGTAGTGTTGTCAGTAGCTTTATAAGGTAATGTTCTCTGTAGCTTTATAAGGTCGAGTTGTCAGTAGCTTTATAAGGTAAAGTTGTCAGTAGCTTTATAAGGTAGTGTTGTCAGTAGCTTTATAAGGTAGTGTTGTCAGTAGTTTTATAAGGTAATATTGTCAGTAGCTTTATAAGGTAATGTTGTAAATAGCGTTATAAGGTAGTGTTGTCAGTAGCTTTATAAGGTAATGGTGTCAGTAGCTATTAACACGACTGCTCTTAGTAGCTATTAAACTATACTGTCGTCAGTAGTTTCATCTCTATCAACTACTGCAGGAAAAACTAAAATCTATAGAAGCCGGAAGGCAAAACACCGATGACGTTGTAAGAAAGTTTGGAAACAAAATGCGTGTGGGAGAAGTGTCTTTGGCGGTCAGATCTCTCACATAGGAATCCTCCGGTGGTGTTCTACCAATAAACAGAGACATTAAAACAATTGAAAGAAAAACATCCCTCTGCAAGTGAAAAGAAAGGCATCAGGTTCCAGGGTGACTATGACCCACCAAATGCTGGTGTGGAAAAAAGCACTGAAAACTCAAGTAGAGGCCGGCCTTTCAGGTCTGGATGCAAACGGTTGGAGAGTCACCCTCAGCACTAACAAGTATGACCCCGTAGCAAGTGATCTCTGCACTGCCATTGCCGCCCTTGCAAGAAAGCTAGCAACCTCGTGCTGCCAACACCTCCATGCTCTGACGGCCTGCCGTCTCATTCCCCTGGATAAGAATCCAGGATATAGGCCTATTTGGGTGGGGGAAGTGCTGAGGCGGATCATCGGAAAATGCATAATGGAGATGGTAAAGGATGATGTCAGGGCAGCGGCAGGGAACCTGTAAGTTTGTGCTGGCCACGAGGCTGGAGGGGAAGCTGCCATTTACGCCATGAAAACGATATTTGAGCAGCGCGATTGTGAGGCAGTTCTCTTGGTTGATGCTTCCAACGCATTCAACATACTTAACTGAAAGGCCGCACTGCACAGCATAAAGATCAAGTGTCCAAGCCATGCAATGTATGTTGAAAACACTAGGAATCCATCAGACCTCAATATAGTAAAATCAAGGCTCCAAGAGCTGATACCATCATACAGTCAACTGGGGGAACAACGCAGGGGGACTCCTGTTGCAATGGCAATGTATGAAATAGGTCTATCCGTGCTCCAACACACAATGAAATTTGAGACAACCGAGGCCAAGCAAGTGGTGTATGCTGACGACCTTACAGGAGCAGGAAAATTGGAGGACATACAAAAGTGGTGGGACCTGATAACATCAAATGGTCCACAAATCGGGTACCACCTAAATGCCAGCAAGTCCTTCCTCATTGTGAAGCCAGAACATTATGAACAGGTAATGGAGGGGCTCGGAGGAAGTGAGGTCAAAATAACAATGGATGGCCAAAGACACCTAGGCGCAGTAAGCGGCACGACAGACTTCAAGACCGAATACGTAACGGGAAAGGTAAATGAGTGGGTCAGGGAAATGCAAGCTCTATCTAATATTGCTAACACAGAGCCACATGCAGCTTTTGCAGCATTCACCCACGGAGTCAAGCATCTCTAGAACTACCTGATGCGCACTATCCCTGATATCGGACACCTCCTCCGCCCTCGGGAAGAAGCTATCAGCGCCAATTTCATTCCCAAATTAGTGAAACATCTTCACTTAATCCCAGCAGAAAGATCACTCCTTGCACTACTACCGAGATTGGGAGGAATGGGATTGTCCAATCCAGAGGAGATTGCTGCCACCGAATATCAAAACTCAGTTAAGCTCACGGCAGCCCTCATGGACTATATAATAGCTCAGAACGCAACAAGCGTGGTGGATACCAGCAAAGTAAACACGATTCGACGGTCCATTACAACAGAACGACAGTACAGCCAAAGTTGCAGCAACTGATGCTGCAAGTACCAGAGAATTTGAGAAAAATAAAGTAGCTATAGCGCAGGAGGTGGGCGCCTCGAACTGGTTAACTACGTTACCGATAAGGGCAAATTAACAAGAATTTACAGATGCCATTGCTCTAAGGTACGGTAGGCCAGTAAAAGGTTTGCCCTCCTAATGCGTGTGTGGTTCTTCCTATGACGTACATCACGCCATAGTGTACAAGAAAGGGGACTTCATATGCATGAGGCATGACGAAGTAAGGAAATATGTCATGATGTCAGGGTAGAACCGACCCTCTTTCATTGGACGGTGAGAATTTCCAACAGAGGACTTCAAACATATCCAACGAAGCCAGTGTTGATGTCAGTGCTTGAGGATTCTGGACGCGGGGACAGTGAGCCTTCTTCGACATCTGGATTTGTTATCCCATGGCCGCATGTGACCGTAACTTAGCTGTCGATGCTGCACACGGGAGGAATGAGAACGACAAGATAAGGACACATGGGTAGAGAATTCAGAACGTTGATCAAGGCAGCTTCACTCCTCAGTTGTTCACAACCTCTGGTGGTATGGGACCAAGTGCAAGATGCTTTTACGCCAGACTCGAAGAGGTGCTATCCGAACAGAAGCAGTAGCCCAGAAGTTATGTTCCAGCCTGGATGAGATGTCGACTGTCCTTCTCTCTCCTTATGTCTGCTTTGCTCTGCCTCAGGGGAACGAGAGCATCGGCCCCAAAGCCGACAACAATTGCAGATATTGACTACGAGGCAACAGTCACTCAATGCTGCATAGATCCGTTGCTCAACTAACTCAACACAGCTAGGATTGCTACTTATGTTTTAGGATATTTAATTTCAAGGTAATAAAATGGCGGCGAAGGTGTGGCTATTGGGGGAGGCTGGAGGCTATAAAAAAAAGTAGTAGTAGCAGTAGTACTAGTAATTGTAGTGATAATAGCAAAAGGCTTCATCCATAATAAACAGGATTTCACAGATGCCATTGCTCTAAGGTACGGTAGGCCAGCAAAAGGTTTGCCCTCCCAAAGCCTGTGTGGCTCATCTTATGACAGTGACCACGCCATGGTGTGCAAGAAAAGAGGCTTTGTATATATGGGGCATGACGAAGTAAGGGATCTCACAGCAAATTTACTGAAGGAAATCTGCCACGACGTCAGGATTTAAGCGCCCCCCCCCCCCTCCCTTCCATTGGACGGTGAGAACCTCCGTCACAGGACTTCAAACACATCCAAGGAAGCCCTTGTGGACGTCAGTGCTCGAGGATTCTGGACGCGGGGACACCGAGACTTTTTAACATAAGGATTTTCGATTCCATGGCCGCATGTCACCGTAACTTAGCTCTGGATGCTGCACATAGGAGGAACGAGAATGACAAGATCAGGGTATATAGGGAGAGAATTTGGAATGTTGATAAGGGCAGCTTCACTCCTGTGGTGTTCACAACCTCTGGTGGGATGGGACCAGGTGCAAAATGTTTCATTGCCAGACTCGCGGAGGTGTTATCTGAACGGAAGCAGCAGCCTAGAAGTTACGTTACATCCTGGTTGAGTTGTCGACTGTCCTTCTCTCTGCTTAGGTCCGCATTGCTTTGCCTCAGGGGAACGAGAGCATCGGCTCCACAGCAGACAACCGTCGAATATATTGACTATGAGGCAGCAGTCACTGAATGCCTCATAGATCTGCGGCTCAACTAGCTCAACACAGCTAGGATAGCTACTTATGTATTAGGATATTTAATATTTAGGTAATAAAATGGTGGCGAAGGTATGGCTATTGGGGGAGGCTGGAGGCCATTTAAAAAAAAAAATCTTGTAGTAGTAGTAGTAGTATTGAACTTACTTCGTTTTCCTCTCCGTTATTCTTTTCTACTCCGTTTCACTAACCAAACCTACCCAAACAAAATCTAACCTAATCTTACCTAACCCAAACCAATATTAACCAAACCAAACTAAACCAAACTTAACCTTACCCAAACCAAACCAAACCAAACCTAACCTAACCTAGCCTAACCTAACCTAACCTAACCAAACCTAACCTATCCTTTCCAGTGGATGCCCTTTGGAGCGCCAAGACTACAGCTAGACGGGACCTACAAGCTGGTGGGGCCCCTGAGCAACCTGCTGGAGGTACTCGCCCGCTATATGGACTTTGAGTGAGTAACGACGCCGATAAAGACATGAAGGACGATGTAATGTTTTTAAAGTCTATTTTTAAGTCAATAAGTAAAGAAGTAAATGAAAAATTAAGTAAGAAAGTTATGTAAGTAAGTAAGTAATTAAATAGTTTAGTAAGTAAGAATTTCTAAATGTAAAAATAAGGTAATTATTTAAGGAAGTAAGTAAGTAAGCAAATAAGAATTTATATATGTAAAAATAAACAAGTGAAAGTAAGTAAAACAATAAGCTAATTATTTTCGGAAGTAAGAAAAAATAATAAAGTAAATAAGTAATTAAGATTAACGCAAGTAAACACTCAAATTACTGTCATGTTGGAAGAAAGGAAGAAAGAAAGAAAGAAGCAAGAGGTCAGCTGTTCCCAAATTGTCAAAAACCCGAAGTTAAGCAATGAACGAGTTAACTTGAACGACGTAACTAATGTCAGAGTTATAATGTGTTAAAAGAGAGACAGACAGACAGACAGACAGACAAAATAACAAAAATCTAGATAGACAGAGGTTGTGAGAAAAGAAAGCGTCAGACAGACAGATGTCACGGGTTCGTTTCCCGGGCCGGCGGAAGTTGTTTGGACACTCTTCCTAGTCCCCTTCGTCCCTGTTCACCTAGCAGCAAAGTAGGTACCTGCTGTAAGTCGAAAGTTGCAAATTCGTATTCAGGGACAAGTTGTTGGAGCTTCCAATAACTTGCTTAGACATAAACCATTGACTCTTCAGGTTTCTACGTCCTTAACTCATGAGACATAAGGCAAGCATGAACTTAGCATGCTTCCCTGTTGGGCACTGTAAACGCTTCTGCGCTTCACCTTACACACCGATGTAGGGGGTGACCAATAAAAAAAAAAAAGACAGGCAAAGAGACAGATACACAGATAGATAGATAAAAAGAAACAATGAGAGAGAAAAAGACAGAGAAAGACAGAGGGAAAGGCAAATATAAACCAGAGAGAAACAGAAACAGAGAGAAAGATAAACAGACAAAGAGAAAGACGGAAGGGGAGAGACACCTTCTTTGAAACCTGTTCGTCTTGTTGACAGGTATGTGGTAGTGCCCCCGCCTGACGGTGTGTGGGGCGTCAAGTTACTCAATGACACCTGGACAGGAATGATGGGCCAAATCCACAAACAGGTGAGTGAGACATCCTGCAAGCGAATTTCTCATCCCGATTTAATTCTTTCATCATTCCTTTTGTTCTGTTGCGTTAATCCCTAGCCTCAATTCATCTCTTATTACTTCCCTCTCTCCCTCTCCTATTTCCTTCCTCTCGCCCTCATTCCTTTCCTCACTTCACCTGTCTTGCCATCTCTTATTCTCTCCCTCATTGCTTCCTCTCATTATTCTCTCTCTTATTGCATACCTCACTCTCTCCTTCTTTACTTCTTGTATTCACTCAGTCTTCTATGTCATACCTCATTCCCCCCCTCGTCCCCTAATATATATATATATATATATATATATATATATATATATATATATATATATATATATATATATATATATATATATATATATATATATATATATATATATATATATATATATATATATATATATATATATATATATATATATATATATATATATATATATATATATATATATAGATCACCAGTAAGTACTTTCGTGTACGACTTATAAATGCAATAAGAAAATATACACAATCCAAACCCACCAGGTGAAATAATGCTTATACCTATTTTACAGGAGGTGGATTTCGCCCTGGGTCCCTTCATTATAACTAGCCAGAGGGCGACCGTCTGTGATTTTGTACCTCTTAGTCACGAGAACTGGGCCATCCTCACCCCTCGACCTGGATTACAGAGCGACGTTACAGGTGTAGTCAAGCCATTCACCACACAAGTACGTTCATGTTGCCTTAAAGAGTTATTTTACCCCAAGTGGTGATGTTTACGTAAATGTCACAGAGTCGCATTATCAAACTTATGAATGAATGGCTAATAGACTTGTAACAATGGGGCTGATTGGTGGACAAGTTCATGTGCTGGACGTCAGAAGACGGCAGTTAGGGAAGTATAGTCCCTGCTCCAGAGATAATACTTTCGTGTTAAATAAGTAACCTTTCTCAACCCTGTTTTTATATCTCATAACGGCTCTGAGCACACACCTGTTAAAACGATCCCCACCACTGCCATGACCACAGCACCGTGCTCACACCGTACTTCACGATACAGGCCTACCACAATCAGCATTTATATGTAAAACCTCTTGCTGGTTTCCACGAATAAAATAAAAGTGGTGTCACTGTGGTCGTGCTGTGCCGCTGTGGGGTTCTTGGTCGAGGCTTGCAAGGGTGGCAATGCGGTTTTACGGAGAATGGCCCACCTGGGCACAGGTCATTCTGGAGTTAGTAGGTTATAGGATTTAATTCGGTTTTGATATAATCTTCTGTGACTTTTTATGTATCAATAAGAACTGACACTTCAAACTTAATCAGTAAGATATCTCTACTGATAGACATTAGGTGCCACCTAATGAGGGGCCATGGGTCACATTTACTGTAACTTTTGATACATTAATATTGCCAACATCTCTACTCTACCGGAGAAAAGAGCTGGGCACCATCAAAATTCGTCATCTACATTAATAAACCAAGAAAACGACACCTCAACCTCATACTTGTACCAGTAAAAATCCCACTGGGCGTGTTTTTCTTACTTTTGATGACAGAATATGACATGTTGGTGAGAGTTAAGCTGTTTCACCACCGATCCCCTACCCTTCTCCACAGAGCAAGATTTGTTTTCACACCAACTCGTCATTCTTACCGTACACGGTGGATCTGATTGCAATCAGTTCGTTAGCCAATAACCTTCCTAGCTTTGACATTTACGAATGTTCCTATAAGGTTTCAGTTTTTAAATTCAACGAAGGTTTGGACACATCAAGCATCATAGGTGTTACGATAAGGGTAAATCGAAATTGCAATTGCAAGCTCTTGCTGTCTGCTTGACAGTTCCCTATCCCAGTTCAAATAAGGCTTTGGAGGTGGTGGTGTCACGGGAGAAAGGGAGAAGTGTGGGTAAGGCTTAGGTGGTGGTAAGGCTTAGGTCTGTCCCACCACCGTGCTAGTGTGTTAAGTAAGCACTCCTTCTCAATATAAGAATACTGATATTTCCTATTTGCTCCAAGTTAACATTCAGAGTACCAAATGTAATGTTATTGCCTCCTATCTGCTGTGGTTTATATTCATTCTTTTGATATGAACTTCGTAGTTGACCTCTGACCATTTATGACCAGACCTGAGACTTAAGTAGAGATACCTAACTCATATTGTTTCTAAATTATTTCTCTTTGTAATGCAATTCACGAAGTATTCTTTGATAGAATTATTAATTATTTAATTTATATATGCCTTATCGACTTATAAAATTCTGCTCTTTGGTTAAAATTTTCTTTAAACTGGGAACTAGTTGTTTCAGGTGGGTACAAGTTGTATTGCGTAAGAGTTCTCATAAACCCAACAAATTACCATAACTAATATCAACCTGATTTAAAGATAGGCAATAAATTATACCCTCAGTAGAAGTGATAAACTGGCGTGAACTAATATTGAGGAATCCTTTTCCACAAAATACATACTACCGAACAAATATTTGCCAATACGAAGGAGTCTTGATAATAAACTATCATGCCATGAGTAATACAACATGATACTGTTTGTAATGTCTGAAGTCTTACTTCTAGGCAACAGCAATTCGAATCATTATCCAACATTTCCCGGAATATATTAGTGCAATGAGACACGACGCACCAGATATGGAGAGGTTATGAAACAGATGTGAGATGTAATGATATATCAGGAAATAAATCAATATTGGTAGCTAATTGATAGTTTGCTAGACTGAGGTAGTGGTGATTAGATAGATGTATCGTCCCCCAGGCCCCGATGTGGGTCAATGACCTGTGCCCGGGTGGGCTAATCCCTGTAAAAAAAAATGGATGTAGACAAAAAATAGACATGGGAGTAAAATAGAGAGAAAGTAAGAGAGAGAACAGAGAAGTAAGTGAAGAAGAGGGCTAAATGGATGGATAAAAAAGACAAGGAAATTTGAAAATGTCGGGATATCAAAAACGCTCAATTTTCAAAGGAAACTAAGATCAAAGGTCTCGCCGAACAGCGAATCTTGAAAATGTCTGACATATGTCGCACGTTATATTGGATGGTGACGCAAATGTTTTGTCGCTTTTTTTCGTCCGTGAAAATATCCCGGTACTGATAAACAAGGCCCCATTCTCATGTTGTTGTGAAAATTCAAGTCTTGCCTACTGATGACGATCTTCTAATTATATTTTTTGGCGGAATCTTATGGTGAACCCCTGCTTCTTGCAGCCTGTTTCAAATTGTACCAGGCGAAACTTCCAGTTGCAATCCGTCTATCAACGCATTTGTAATTGGAGAGCATCTAACTGCCTCAAGGAGTCGTCTGTCATCAGCCCATGTTGTTTTATCTGGTTGGTCTCGAAGATTCCCCACTTCTTCCTATCTCCTGGTCCAAAGTTGGACCGTGGGCTTGGAAGCTGCAAGTTCTCTAGCTATACAGGTAATATAAAGATCGAATTGTCTCATGCCGACTATTCTTCCTCTTAATTATTCATGCTGTGGTTGTGCACAGACTGGAAGCCAGGGAATAAGGTCGATGCGTTAGACCCAACTAACATGAATTTGTGTGTATGTAATGGCAATACTTTCTATGTGAATATAATTTAAATACAATAGGCAGACGGGGCACCAACTGGTTAACAGTCAAAATAGGTTATGGATCATAAATGATTGCCTGCGGGCAAGGGGACTTTTGATAGTATATTCTGGCTAATGCCAGACGATTTATTCTGGTTAATACCAGACGATTTATTTTGGTTAATGCCAGACGATTTATTCTGGTTAATGCAAGACGATTTATTCTGGTTAATGCCCTCTGCCCCGTAAAAGGTTAATTACAAATATTACGGTTTATCTATATTTATTTTATCTTAGATTTTATTATAAAAATTATGGTCATATAATAGGAGAATTTCTGCGCACTGAGTTTAAAAGTGGGTTACAAATATTAGCACACGATTTGTGTAGATTCTCGTTAATTATTTAAAACAATTTACACGGACAAAGAAACATAAATATTCAAAGTAATAATTATACAATACTTCAAATCGGTGGGAGCAGGTGATTTAATTCCCACGAAACCTATCACCTATAAGATACCCAGCAGGTAAGTCATTTAATGAGGTTGAAGTGAAGGGGCTGGGGGCTTACCGGATTGGGTTGACTGACCTAACTGAACTCGTTGCTATGCTTAGTAGGGTGTGTCAATTTAGGGGGTGAACTGGCTAAATTGAAAATCGAGTAATTTGGTAGCAATTTATTGTAGTCTTTAAGCATGCAAAACAATATTCTGGCATAAATTTTTTTTTATAATAAGTCCTACCTACATCAAATGGATTTTTAAATGTACATATTTGTGAATTTATAACATAACCAGCGTTTGCACACATGTTACTGTTTCAAGTTTCAAATTATTATATTTTATTATCCGTAGTCTATTTGAAAGTAACCAATGCCTTCATACTCTCTTTGCTTTGGTTTCTTGTCATCAGTAGTCTGCTTGCTATTTGTGCTTTGATGTAACCTTCTCGCCTCTCGTGGCTGTAAACATGGCCCGCTGCTTCTGTGACCATTTTCACACATCTCTCCACACTTTGAGTGTGGGAAGGCCACTTCGGCACCTGCATTGGAGTCTCTTTAAGGTTTCTCAATTCTTGGCTAGTTAGACTTGTTGTCAATGGTGGCTCTAAGACTTCCAAACTCAAGTCAACCAATTCTGACAATTTGGTGGCATTGACGTTTATTGGGGGAACTTTTCTTGAATGAAACGAACAGTCTCCCAACTGGTCGTCATCTATTAGCGTTCCTCTAATCTTTAGAATGACTTCTACAGCCTCGGTTCGGAGATTGGTACATTGACTGCAAAGCATTGCTTGCAAAACTGCTTCTGATCGAGCATACCAAGCGGACCTTCTTGCCACAGGTAACACGATGTCCCTCACTACCTTCCTCTGTGTTCTTACTAGCTGCAATTGAAACAAAAGGTGATTGGGCCCATCCACCCACATAGGATTAAGTTTCACACTAAACCACTGGGGAAGATAAACTCCAATAATAAATTCAACAATTAACCTCAAATTCTTCAGCACTTTGCCCTTCAATTCGTGTTTGGAAATCCAAATCCTGCAGAAACGAAGAGCTGTAGTTAACCAACGGCTGTGACTGACAGGTCCAATCTCCAAGAGAGCCAATGACTGAGGCACTTCTCCTGATCTTATTGCTTGGGCAATACGATAAGCATAGGATTGATCTGTGCTAAGATCTTTGATGACTCCTTCAGACAACGCCGGAAGGGGAGGGCCAACTTCGACCTTTGGAAAGGTTGTATTTATTTCTAGTTGTGTTGCTTCATCCAGCATGATGCCAAGGGGACCTGACCACTTGTTGTTGCTCTTTGTAGGACCATCAAGTTCCTGGATGAGATGACGAAGAGGTAGCTCGCCTGTATGTAAATCACATACAATTCAAACAAGTCTTCTTCCTAGTTTTTTCTCTAAATGCGTCATTACACCCCCCTGCCATCCGGTGTTCACTGCAGTTGAATCTCCACCAACAGCCTGCAGTGAACTGCCAAGTCCTCTCTCCTGAACCCAACATAAAATATGATCAGCAATGACCTCTGCATGTTTCTTCCCTTCTACTTCAGTTTCGGGAGCAAAGTGAAACAAAAACCGACCACCAGGCTCAGAACAGACAGAGTAGTGTTCTTCTTTGATGAGACCTGGAAACTTTCTGTTCA